GATATCCCCCCCCCCCCCCCCCCCCCCTTTTTTTTTAAGGACTAAGAAAGTCTGCACAACTGTGAGTTGTGGGAAGCAAAGGAGTCTTTAGAAAGGACTGCTTTTAAATTAATGATATACAAATGAAAAATTTATTGTGGGTGGGAAAAAAGAGAAAACGTTGTAGACCTTGCCTTACTCAAAGAAGTTTTTCTTCCAAAAGGACAGATTTCTAAGTGGGTTTGTTTTATTTTCTTTTCTTTTTTCCAAACTAGAGGGGAAGAGAAAAGATGAGGAAATCCTCTGAGGGATGCTCAGTAGTGAATTGCTAAAATTTCAACAGAACCTAACGCACCCCCCCAACACACAATGTACTGTGATTGGGTAGGGAATGAAAAGAGATTGTACACTTTGATTCTCCTTGCTCAGCACTGCAGGCTGCTGGGGCAAATTATGTGGAGAAAGCTATATATGTATCAAAAACACCCTCAAAAAAGCCTGAAAGCTTATTTTTGACATCAGTGAATTAGAAGGGGAGAGAAATTGAGGGAAAGACAGAGAGGGTGAGAACAGGCTTATAGTTTTACAGTACCGTGTGTCTCCACGTTCATGAGCTACTCTTTGGAAGTGGAATGCCTTCTGTTATTAAGAAAGAATGCATATATTTTGAAAGTTCAAGGTATATATTCTTGACCTTTGACACGTATCTGTAAGTGTCCATATGTCTGCATCTTTGTAGTGTGTATCGTTGAAGTTATTTTCTTTCCAGTCTGACTGTACACAATTATAGCACCTCCCAAGTACACTGAAAACTAGAAAATATTTGAGAGATGTTTTCAATCAATAAGCTGCATGACTACGCAAAATATACTATTTTCTCATCTGAAATTGCATATCTCAAATTTTGTTTATACACAGGAGCTGAATATAGGTGCTTCCATCCGAGTACACATGCCAAAATTACATAGCAATGGAGTATCTCCAGGTTCGTAACATTCCTTCTGGGTTTTTGTCTTTTGGAATGAGAGACTTGAAACAAGTACCTTCCCACCTGACCACGAGGTACCAGTAGTTTCAGTCTTACAACAGATTTAAGGCTTATCTTCCCCTCCAACTTAACTATGAACTCAAACACCAATGTGAACAATTTCCAGGATTCTGAAAGAAAACATCATCCAAAGGACTCTCAATAAGGACTGTAATTACATTTACAATCTGCCTGCCTCAAATGATGAATAATATGACTTGTAGTACCTTATATTAGCACAAACGTCATACTTCCACTATGTACTATTAAAATAGAATTCTATAGGAATGATTCAGCAAAAGCAGCTTCAGGAAAATCTGTAGGTATCAGGCACCTACCTCAAGTATAAACTACCATATGTGATATACATGTCTTCTATTTAGAAAAGGAAAACGTACAAATACCTCAACAAATGTGAAAATACAGAGGCCCAGGGTGGAAAAAAAAAGAGGGGGGAACAGAGTAAGAGACAAATGCTAACAATGTCTTGTTCTAACTATACCAGCAGCTCTTCAATGGCTCACACACAAAATCCCTGCAAAATATGACATTAAAAAGACTCATCACATTTAGGGTCCTAATTATGAACGTGCAACAGATTCTTTATGGGCACTGTAAACAAAGCCAAATGTAAAACTCATCACATAATAGATCTTGACGTTCACAATCTTGATACAACTAGTAGCCTAAAAATACCAAGGCTGTTTTTCTCTGTAGCTGTGGACAATCAACAAATTTGTCCAGGAAGAATCAAATAATGACCAGTTATACGTCACACAAAAGCTATACAGAACTACCTCTGCAGCAGTCAGCTTTATGAAAGTCTTTGTTCATGCAGTGTTTATGCAATGTTAAGCAGTACATTGCTTAAATAATCACAAGATTTAATATTCTGTACCTCTGCTTGTAATTACGTAGTAACTAAAGGCCCCAGTGTGATTTCTCAGAACTAACACTTCATTCTCTATTAAACTATGCCAAGCTCCAGTTAAGCTGGTGACTAGGACTGTTAAAGCACTCAGCAGTGGTACATATTTGATCATTCTGTATGCGGACTAAGTCACAGTATGTACCATATCAACTATAATCAGGTTAATGCTACTGCTTTTTAAACACCTAATGGACCAATTTTCACATTTATTTAGGTCCTAGTCTGAATGTTCCTGTTTTGTTTAACAAAACCCTGTATTTTTTTTTGGCAATACAGCTTAACATTTTGCATTAATGGATTAATTAATTAATGGATTCATGTGAGTAAGATCCCTCAACATATTTTCAGTCACAAATTTGACAAACAGAAACTCACCTTTAGACCAATAAAAATTGGAAATAATGCTTAGGAGAGTCTGACTTGCAGACTTATATTAAATTCCCATAACAGAGTGCTTTAAATACAGCGTAGTTTGGAAATTGAGCTGCTGCATGCACAAGGTTTATATGCATAAAATTCAGTTTCCACTTTTTAATGGGAACAAATATTCAGTTTCTCTTCTATATTCAATACATGTATACAACCTTCACCAAAAAGTGCCCAGGCCAAACATAACTTTTGCCAGGAAAGTTTCTATTTTACTTTACTGAATTAGTACTGATAATAGTGCAAAGAGGTAGACAGGATGGACAGTTACGTTAGGGCTAACATACACCCATGCTAACTTACATTCATTAGAATGATACATTTTTCCTGTTATATCTAGCTTGGAAAAAAGTTTAGCCTTCTTTAGTGGCAATTTCCTTGTCAGTATAAGGTCACTGATTTTTATGAGACAGATTTGGAGTATTCAGTGTTTTATTAACAGCGGAGCAGTGGCATCAAGAAGAGTAGAAAAAGAAAACTGGAAGTAGTGATTAACTATTAGAGGTAGACTCACAAAAAAATGGCCATCCATGCTGTGAAGCATTATATCACATTATGAGAAGCTTTTTTAATATGAAAATACACAGTTACGCTAAGCCAGTCAGCACCCTGAAAAACCTCCTTGAATCTTAGTTTTCAGTTCCTTACTTACCAATACATCAACATAGAGAATCCAGCAGTGCTCTCTGGGATTAATACAAAGTGATTTCAAGTCTACACTGGTCTCGCTGCTAAATACTCTGTAGAGTGTATTTGCTATCTCTGTGCCAAGTTCTTCGCCGCCCCGGCCTTCAAATTCAGGAGTAGCATTTGCAGAACTAGATAAAGAAAGAAAAAATACTTTCATTTCTGAAGCAGCCAATACCCAACGACCATTTCCTAAATATAAAGCATTAGAAATATCTAAGGATTTATCTGTGCAAGAATAAGCATCCTATCTGTAAAGAAATTATTTCCGTTTTGCATAAGAAAGTGTCTAGATGTAGATCATATACCTACATTTTGCTACAAACTCTGATACCAATTAAATTCCACTATCTTCAGTCCCAAGTTACAATATTAAAGTCGGTGAATTCTCTCAGCAATTATTTCTTAAGCACTCTCATCTTATATCATCTCAACCTTTTCAAAAATAAAAAAGTGAGAGAAATCTGTACTGAGTTCAGAACAGCTAACAAGACAGCCTGTTAGAGTTGAATGTTAAATTAGTAAGATAAGAGAATGGATAAGAAGAGAAAGATGTGACGATATGACAAGTAGAATACACATTTTTTTTGAAGTGACATGACTGCCTGACCTTAATCGGCAATTTCTTTACTGAGTGTACTCTCTGCTATCAAGCCACTTACAGACAACAGCTCATTCTTTTCAGCAACTGCAGCTTATGGAAAGCAGCAACTAAAGAACATATTTTTCCAGAAGGGATCTGACAAAAGCATGTGGTCTTCACTTCCCCGATTCCAACATAACAAACTTTGTTTATGAGCAGTCATGCAAGAAAGACCTTGGGTGCTGAGGCCTTGTACACAGCTAAGAACAAAATTCTAACAATAAAAGAAACCAGGCTTACAAAAAAAAAAACACAAAAAAACAACCAAACAAAAAAAGCCCACCTCCAAGTCACAGTGAAATAGGGCACAAGTGTCCAGATCTGCATATACAGCAAAATAACAAATATTCTGAACCCAGCCTCTGGTTTATAGAAAGGACAAAAGCATTCTCAAGCAGTGGACCCGTGGCGCACACTGCAGATCTTGTTTTTAAATAAACTAGTCAGACCTCCCCCAAATTAATTTCTCATTACAGAACACAGGAAAAGAGCTGGTTCCACAGAAGTAGCTTGGTATGTTCAAAATCTACTAATAGCAAAGCCTTGTATTCTCCTGGCCAACTTCTCATGTATGTTTTGTGTTTATATGATGATACAAACTCTTAGCTCTTCCAACAGGACCACCCCAGGAATGCAAACATACAGCACAAAACAAAGTCTTAGAATATAATCCCTGCACCTTTAAAAAAAACAACTAAAGATCCACATTATCTAGGTATGACTTAAACCACCACTGCAGCACTTATATGGGAATTTTATAGAAGCTATTTGCTGCTTCTATAACTAGACAACACTATACATGCTTAAAAAAAAATAAATTACTGCCAATCAAGCACTGACCTATGCTTCCAAACTACACTTGCCTCATGAATAAGCGCTGCAGGTGTGACATAATATTACTTGCAGCTGCATTAATATCAGAGAACAATTTTGTAAAACAGGACCATATCTAAGTATAACTTAATTCTGGAAATATGCTGAGTCAGGCCTTTAGGCTGTATTAAACATGCACTTATCCATGGAAGCAGCTTTTACGAAGTTAATGAGATCGTTCTGTTTAAACCATCCTGTTTAAAGTATGGTTATGCAAGCATTATGATTCCTGTGATAAGTTGAAAAGAATTATACAAACCTCAGTCCACACCTCATTATTATTTCTAAACATGAAGATTTATCAAATGTTGTAGTTTTTAGTTATAAATGGCTGCTGTCTTTGACAGTGAGTATGAAGAATGTAAGACACAACTGGAATATTATTGCAAGTTTCACTGCATCTTAATTCCATTATTATTTTAACACTTCAATTCCTTGCAATCAAAGTGAAATGAAAAGTAATGTTAGCGGGGTACTATTATGACAACTATATGGTAAATACTGCCACTCAATACTTGCAGACTATTGCAGTAATTTACACTGGGTAAAATTCGAAAAAGGGTTGTCTAGCACACTAATAAAAGAAAATGCCAAAACACTTGTTGTATAGAGCACAAGAAAGAATTCAGTAGTGGTCAAGTGGAACACAGAATTTCTAGTCCTGAACAGAATGTAATTTTTAAAGACTTTCAAAACCATTTCAGTGTCACACTGCATAACAATCAAGACTGCTGAAGCACAGTGAGGTTTCTAGCGCAGATCTCTTTCAAAACCCTTGCTGTTACCAGTCAAAACCTTTCTCTCACAGTAGTTAAATACTTCCCATCCATTGCTCAGGCCGTTAATGTACTATAATCAACAATGTAAGTAATTATAGCAAAGATAAAACAGTCAATTAAACAAAAGCTTACAGCTATTTTGCTGGTATACAAGAGCTTCATTACCCAGAGGATATTCTTCACTTAAAGCCATATTTACTTCAAGCAACCAATACCAGATTTCTATTCTTGCACCAAAAGAAACATACAATCATTTAAAACAAGAAGGCCGATTCACTGTTTTAGAATCAGCAGTAAGTTAATCACCTCACTGATATTCCACCCGTCCAGAAAGCAGCCAGAAGACATCACATTTATGACATATCTGGACTGCCAAGGCAGTCCCAGAAATAGACAGACCTGAATTCCAGTCCAGAGGCTGTCTAACTGTGTTAATATGATTATGATGATATTCAAGCTTATGACCCTACAAAGAATTTGGCTAACATGGGTTTGGATTTAGTCTAGCCAAACTAGTAACTCTACCAACATGGATTTACTCATTCAGGTCTCTGCCTGGTCAGGCACTGTCACCACACTTCCTATCTGAAAGGAACATCTGCTTTACAGAGTTTGAAACAGTTTTTACTCAAGCATTATATGGTGTTTCTCTCTGAAAACTGAGCTAAATCCACTACAGACCATCTTTAATGGAGGAAGTACTGTAAAAATGGTAAAGACATTTAATTCTTTCAAAACTCATTAGTTTGTCTCTTGCCCCCGCAAAGGATAGTTTAGTGACTGCACTGAACTTTAACTTAACATTTTCCCCACAAAACCCAATAGAACAGTATCTGAGGATCACCTAAGAGCATGCTGATGTGTGCAATACTGTCATCTTTTATGATCTGGAGAACTGCTTTACATCTATAATATTTAAGATCATATCTGACCCAGTCTTCCATGCAGGGACCAA